TTTTCCATGATGATGTGCAATGCAATAGCTGTTTTGTGGTTAAGCCTGTGGGTTACATGCGTTGTTTCTTGGTTATGCTTATATTAATTCAGGATTAGGGAACGGATAAGGCAGAGGAGATGCTTATCTGCCAAGTGGAAAAGGGAATTAGCTCTCATGCTTTTTTCTGATTAAGAAATCAATTCCAAGTTTCTATCAAAAATATGAAGTTTGAGCAACTGCGAAGCAGGGAGCAGTTGTTAGCCTGGGAAGTGAGATAAGCCTGGATTTCCAGTTCCGTTCCAGTTTTGTTTCTCAGGACCCACTTTATTCTCATAGAGAGCCCCAAATGGTGCAATTCATGACAGTGCAACCTGAAAGCAGTCCCTTTCCAGCCACGCTGGAAGATTGCCTCTACATCTGCCTTCATCTCAAATGGTCTCTCTTCTAACAAATTCCATTTTCTTTTATAGCCCTGTCCAAGGTCACTGTGCTATACGATCAGGAAGGGTATAGGTCTCACAGTTCGGGGGAGGTCTTTGAACTTTACTGTGTTTGTTAACGTGTGGCATAGTCAATATATGATCCCTTTTCCCAGATTGGTAGCAGAAGTGGAAGAGGAGACAAAGGCTGTTGCTGTGCAGTAGTGACAGCGTGGTAGGTAGTTTTTTTTGAGCTGAGGGCAGGACTTCAAGCTTTCCTTAGGTGATTTTACTTTTGTGTATGTGTGTATAACAACTCTTAAGTGATTCTCTCAGGTAATAAAACTGTTAAACTGTTAATATAATTTGCTTATACGTCATATTATCTCTATTTACATGGTACAGAATGTGGAACTGTATCTACTAATACATAAGTTCAAAGGGATAAAAAACGAACTAATCATAAATACATTTTCTGTAACTGAAACCAGAATTTTGTGCTCGGTACAGTTGAAATGGAATAAAATCTTGAAAACACTGTGTTAGGTAAGCGCTGTCTGGTAGAAATAAGTACGGAAGGGCAAATGAAATCTCAGTTTTCTGAATTTGAAGATTAATGTTTAATTTTTTAAAAAAACAGATTTTCTTATGGAAGATTGAATCTTCTTAGATTCTGGTCGCTGAATAGAAATTCAGATCGCCAAATTTCTGTAGTGTGTTATCTGATGAGACCGCCCAAGTCAGTATTGAAAGTATACTGAGATTTGGTTAAATATATTTAGATCACAGAAGTTAGTTGATTTTGTTAAGAGTTCAGGGAGGAAATGGTATTTCAGTGTTGGAGCCTGCAGAGGTTGCATTTTCTGGGGGTGAAGGGTGAGTTTTGGTTTTCCTCTTATCAGGAAGAAAAAAGAAATTCTCTGAGAGATCAGAAATTGTTATCTAATCGTTCGACTCGAAAAGCAAGGGTTTACAGAAAACTTCCCACCCAATATCCCAAGGTTTGTAGTGATATGTAGATATATTTGGCAGCACTTCTTGGCCACTGGGATCTGATGTTGATGTATGCTATTGTATGCTTACCTTTCCACTATTTTATCTTTTAAATTGAATACTGAAAAGATTCTTAGTCACAAAGAACAGTGGCAAACTTAGGGGGAAGTTTCCCATGGAGCTAAGCTCATCCGATGGCTCATTACTGCTGAGAAGTGATCCTGGTCCCCTTGTTCGCTGGTGGTGTAACTCTTCCGTCTCTTGTAGCATCAGCTCTGTCTTGCTAACCTCACTTGCCGTCGGCCATTAATGGGACCTGTGAAGGTACTGGAGATGCAGACAGTCTCTTTCAAGTAGCTGTTGTTCCTGCTGGCAGAATTTAGCATTTACATCAGTACATAGGCTTAGTGGGCAGGCAATGGTACTGCAACCTGAGAAGTGGATCAGGCTGAAATGTTTTCCTGTTTTTTTTAAATTTCTTCAACATCTGACAAAAGAGTCTGTTTAAAAAATAGAAAAATGATACTTCAGAGACTGTAATTGCAAAAAAAAAAAAGTAATTCTGCATTACAGATTACTTTAGTATTAGGTTGCATTCTGTCTTTTTAGGTTTTGTTTCCTCTTGTCTAGCATTTTAGTGTCATGTCCACAGCACTGAGGAGTATTTTGTTTCTCACCTTTAACACTGCCTTTTCATGCTGTGGGCTGCTTCTTGCATGCCGTAGAGTGTATGCATGCTTTTTAACATAGCTTTACCCTCTTCCTGTGTTAGGAAAGCTGATTCAGGATAAAGGGAGTTAGTAATCTTTTGGGCATTCCAAAATCTTTATGTGGGGTTAACAAGTAGGGGTGCAGTGCAGACATGGGGAAGGGCTAGCTGGGATCTGTGCGGAGAGGCTGGTCCTGTACAGCAGTAGCCAAAATGCTGCTTTGCTGGGTAGTTTCCGAATGCTTATAGGCAATTATTAGCAGTTCTTTTTGGGTTTGTTTTTTTGCCTTATTGAGTTAGCAGTCAGTTAGGAGGAGCTCTCCTCAATAGAAGTGTTGAGGTATTTCATTATTGCGAAAAGTAGCACAGTTATTTTTGAGGATTGATTTATAAGAGTTAGGAATGCTCATTTTTACTATTGTTCTGAGGGTTTTTTGTGTGTTTGTGCTGGTCTGCCAACTAAAATAAATGTCCGTGTGTGTTTATTGATTGTTGTAAAATACTTTCTACACAGCAAACTGGAAAAAGGACGATAATTTGGTTAGTGTGAGAGGCCCCATAACATGCTCAACACTGTTTAGTTCTCTGACTTCCATATGAATTCCCCACTTCGAGTCTTCATGTGCCACAAGCACCAATTAGTGTGGATTTCAGCAAGTGGTTCTTGTCCTGGGGACAGTCCCTGAAGCTGGCAGAGTGACAGCAGAACAGTGGCCAGCATGGCTGCTGCTGGGTTGAAGTACCCTGAGAATGGTGGGTGGCTGTGGAGGAGCCACAGGTAAAATAATGGCAGCTCAGTGGCAGCATCAGTGACACCCGCCACTCCAGGAGGGACCTGAAGTTGACCTCCCCTCACAGCAAGCAGTGAGCTGCCTAAAATGTAGTATTTGCACCTTTACTATAATGGCGGACAACGTTGGGTGGCCACCGGCTGAAGGGTGCCGGTGGGAAGTGTGGACGCTTGTCTGGCAGTTGTGTGAGATTTCCGTACCCCGTATCTTAGATGCCTCGTGGAATTCAAAGAGGAAATCTGTGTGAGTTTGTTTAGCTGCAGTGTACGTAGTAACTAACGGTGATGTCGGGCAGCCACCCACTGCTGGGAGAGGTGAGACCGGGAGATGTCTGTCTTTTTGGTCTTTCCCCCCATCCCACTCTGTTCTCACATAGTGATAATAAAGTCCTTAGAAGGTCCAAATTGGGATCCACATTTGGGTCTCATAGCTGCTATGGACGTAATAAGGGCCAGAATGGTACCTAACCAAATGGTCACTAAGAAAATCGCTGTGAAAAAGCCAAACCAGGCTTTCCTACGTCTCCTACAGCACATGTCAGGACGGCTGAAGTGGGATCTGATGTGTTGCGAGAAAAACCCATTCACCACAGACATCTTGAAAGTGACAACCCTGAGGTCTCCTCATTGCTTGTGGAGACGTTGCACAACTTGAGACGTTGGCTTTACCATATTGGGCAAAGCCTTGGTTTGGTTTGAGCCTCTGAGATGCGAGCTTTGGGTGGACTGGTCACTATTCTGGCATCCTCAGCTGTGCAATGCATGTGTGGACGATCAGGTCGCTCAGAGGAAGAGGAGAATTTACTGACGTCCTTACCCACATTCCAGGGCGGGCGTGCCTTTCATCTCCTCACCTGCACCATGCACCACCGTGCTGTGGGAAAGAGAGGGCGATTAGTGTTCCACCATTTGTAGGAACAAAGCTCTAGGGGCTCTGGCCGCTTGCATCGTTTCTGCGTGCTGTGAGCTGAAACTCCTCTGAGTTTGGGTGTACGAGGTGCCTGCACAGCCACAGTGAAGGAGATGATGCAGCTAAGGAACGTTCCAGCAGTTTGGTACTCAGGGTAAAGATGTGTTAGGGTTTTTTTTCTCTACAGTATGTTCAAGAATTTGCGTTTGTGTTGTGTGGCCTGTCCATGCCAGTGGAATATAAATGACAAAAGACAAATTTGCATTAGATTGTCAACAGTCATTGACATCTCAGCAGCAATATGTTGGTTTATATCACCTGTGGAAAGAACCTAAGTTTTTTTGTTGTTGTTGTTGTTTGTTTGTTTTTTGGGGAAGGAGGGAGACTTGGAAAATTCCCTTGGATGACAGCAACAAGTCTAATCAGATGATGGTATTCACGTCGGAGCTGTTAATGTGGTATCTTACCCTTTTATTTGTTTAAAAGAGACTGCTTGACTTGTAAGCATCTGCTTAAAAACAATTACGGTTTTATGGAGTGTTGTTTATTAAATATAGGGGACTGTTCATTTGTTTCTCGAGCAATGATGCTTTATCGTGTGCGTTTTGAAGTGCCATATTCAATGCATCTGGTTCCTTTATATCCCATTTTAAGAATTTTATGTTGATCAAGCCATCTGTTTGTGTGTCCTGTGCGCTGTGTAGACAACTGACCTAATACAGATTCAGCTGGTGAAAGTGGTTATTTTGATAATTGCAGGTGTTAAAAATTGGAAACATTAGAGTTCCTTGGTCTTATTTGAACTTCAAACAGGTTATACGGGTTTTTTAAATCAGATTTTATTTGTTCTAAAAATATAAATAAGTCATAAATACCATCTCAAATATTTTAAAAGCATAAGTTATACAACAGTGTCTCTGGCTTCTGAAAATATTTTTTGTTCAATACATATTAAACTGATATTCTGAATAGTACCATTAGAAATGAAATAAAGTAGGTCCTTTGTTTAAATTATTTCTAAATATCGAAAATATAAATAGGAAACATTAGAAACGAATAAATATTTTAAATACAATAAATAGGTTCCTAGAAGGAAATGAGAATATATATATATATATAAAAATGCAAACCATTATTACTATTTCTGGTTCTTAAAACAGAACAACTGTCGTCTGCCACATGACAGATTTGTTAGGAAGGATTGTGCCTGAATTAAAACATTCAGACACTGAAACTCCTGGTGTTTTTCAAATAGCGAACAGCCCTCACGGTTTTCTCCATAAATGAAGTAAAGCCTCGGAGGATGAGGTGGGTGGTGATTTTCTCTATCCAGGCCTTATCGGACCTCAGCTTTGCGCGGAGGGATTCCTGGGTAGCTGAGTCTGGGATGACGACTTCGTCGGGGTTTATCACCTGTGAAAAGGAAAAGGACGATATTGAGATGCCCTGGTTAAAGCATGGTGACTGAGCTTGTTGGAGAGCATTGGTTTGTATGGAGAGTATGTTCCTGAGCAGCTGCGTGTCCACTGTTTCTGCACTGCTGCCAACAGACCTCTTTGGGACCTGCGCTGCCCTACAGCCCTGCTTCCGCCGCGGGGTTCGAGGTGCCTGGATACCTGCTGCGATTACTGCGGAAGACTCGAGGGGTCTTGTCTGATCTATACTACTTTTTCTGGTTTGAATGCAGCGTCTGGCATCGCGGTCCCACACGCTGCGCTGGGCAGAGGGACGCACCTCTCCTGCTCTCTGCTGACCGCGTGGTCAGATGGGAAGGTGCTGAGCGTGATTCGTCGCAACCTTTACTGGCTGCTGCGTCCTGAGTCATAAGTTAATTAGATGACATTGGAGTACACTCACATTTTGCAGTGGATTAACAGTTTCCACAGATGTCAGACTTGTTCGGCTGCTTAATTCTTACTTTCCAGGCATTTAGGCATGTGGGAAACCATCACCGACTTTCGGTGATGTGTGGGATGCTAACTGCGAGGTGAATTAAAGGAGCGATGTACCTAATGCTGACTGACAGCACTGGGCGCCTGGTACCCAAACGCCTGTTAAGAACTTGTCCCCTGGAGCAGGTAGGTGACTGCTGAAAATGGGAGTTAGCCAAATCGTGGAACTGGTTTAGCTGGCATCTAGAAGTCTAACAATAAACTATTTGCTTCATCCTGGTTTTAGGATCTCTCCTACCCTTTAACAAGTGACAAAAGCATGTGCACCTCCTCCTGGAAAGTATTTTTATATGAAATTCAGTAAGATACGAATATCCTTTCTGTCCAGACCACTTCGAAGAGAATTCTGGTTACACACCAAGTTACTGGTGTATCCATCTCCTTGATGCACGCTGTACAGGTTTTTATCTGGATATCCAGACAGGGATCGTGCTGGTGGATCTGCCTGACCGCAAGTGACAGGTTCTGTCCTTTCTCTCCTCGCCTTACATAGCAGATAGACTTCTCTCGTAAAGAAGAATTTCCAGCCGGGAGATCAAGACTCCTCTTTTTCTTAAAATCTCCGCGGTTTCTAAAAGCACAGGTTTTGCTTTTGACCATTGTGTTCAACTCTGCTTGTTCCAGTTGCCTCAGTCTTTCCAATTTTCCAAAAAGGCCACTCTCCGCCAGTTAGGAAACAAACTTTCTACCAAGTAATGTATCAATGTATCAGTAGCCAGCTGCTGTCTTGTGACGGGACTATTGTTCTTAGCTAGTACAGTGTGAAAAAAGCAGGTCAGCTCCCTTTCACTTAAAGAATGATGGACATGAATAAATGTGTTAGGAGAGGTACAGCAAACACACAATGGGCTTCTCGGATGCCAAAAACCACCTTGGAGGAAATCATGCCCTGAGATTTCTGCAGCTCCTAATTCTGCGGCCCTTACTCACCTGGGTGGTTCTTACTGAGGCAAATAGTTTCCCTGATGACAAAGGCGGTATTCATGTCAAGGGTTATTAGCGTGAGTAAGAAGTACAGGAATGAAGTGAATTTTTGAAGTGTGATCTTTCAGAGCTCTCCAAAACGTGCAAAATGACTGTCAGAAATGAATAGCATTTAGTTTACTGAATCAAAAGAGTCAGGTGTTGGTAAAGAAGGAAGATTTTTTTTTTGTGATCATTACAAGCAAAAAGTGAGCTTTTCAAGTAGGCAGCACCTTTTATTTAGTCAAGTTATTAACTCATGTTCTGAATTTAATTGTCTTCCTTGCTTTTTAAGCTACTGATACCTCAGTATACCATACAGCTTGGCTGAAAAGTTTCTTTTGAAGAGTCTTAAAGCTTAATGATATTATAAAAATGTATTTGCCTTTGTTTCTGTGGGCTTCTAAAAAAAGTTACTTGTTTCTACTTTTCAGGGAGTTGCAACACTAGAAGGCTCGGACTGAACTGCAGTTCTGCGGTAAGGAACAAACTCACTGAGAAATCTTGCTTCTGTCAGCCAGGCAGCATTAGTGCATTTGTTCTTACAACAATATGATGCATGTAATTGTTGGGTTGGAAGTTAGAAATAACAATAGAAAGTAGGAAGGAGAGTTGTTTCTTTAAGACAAGAGAACAAAAGCTTGTAAAACCTGAAAGTTAGTCATAAGGGTAAGTATCAGAGCGTAAGGAACCACCACCTGTTTCTGCTGAAAGAAGAGAAAGCGGGAAATGTTCAGCTTGGCACAGCATCCTATTCCTCTGACTACGCATCAGCGCTAAGCCATTAACAATTATCGGAGTGAATTTAAAAGCGACTCACCATCTGCCTCAGGGTACGTGCCAGGTGCTCGGTAGCGTAGCACAGCGATTCGACGTTCTGCTTTTCGCTGGTGAAAGTGTCCCGTACGTATTCAAGGTATGTCTGAAATGCGTAAAGCCCGCTGGAGATTTTCTTCAAGCATTTATCCTGAAATGAGAGGAAGGTGAGAAAGTCACGTAGGGCTCAGTAATGCCTCGACTGCAGCACTGCGCATACAGCGCGGGCGAGGGGAGTCTGCTTGTACGGAGCGTGGAGGTCTGTGCCACGCCGAAGCTGGCTGGCACCCGTCTTTATGTCAACTTCCATCGTTCTCCGGAGCAGGCAAAGATCGCCCCGGGTGTGTAGGGTTAGACTGGGAAGAAGAGAG